AGTGGACTGAATTTGCACTATTTCTGACAGTCTGCAACCCCCCTAAAAGACTGTCTGTATGGGCCAAAAGGCTCAGTTCTGGTGCCGTCCTATTTGGACAATGCACAGCCCAAAACCCAGTTCTAACCCAGATAGTATCTGGCATGTTCTGCACAAGAACCAGGGCAAAACAAGGCTAAAACACATTTTTAAAAAATGTACCTGTTGCTCTGGATCTTTCTGGAAGATGCAGAGCACTCTGTTTCTGTGGAGCAGTGGCCATCTGCACAGGCATCCCACAGGGCCACCTGCTGCTTCCAGAACCACCACAGGTCACTCGTTTTGAAGTCAGAATGAGGTGCCCAGCATGTGATCATCACTGGGCACCTTGTTCTGACCTCAGAAATGAGTGACCTGCAGTATCAGCAGACACGTCAGGTAGCCCAGCAGGACACCTGTGCAGACAGCTGCCACACCACAGAAATGGAGGGCCAGGAAAAGGGGGAAATGGGGCAGCTGCAGGGCCAAGATTCTCCAGGCTACCCTTGGAGTACATTGGCCAGTGAAGACAAGGCCCAACTCTATTTCTAAATGCTCCACCAAAGTTTTAAGTTACTATAATGCTAGAAATTTGAGATATGAAGGACAATTTCATTTGATTTGATAAAATTCTTATTTGGAGGGCAAAGCCCTTGTTTTGTTCCTCCTATAGCTATACCCTCTAGTATTTTTTCCCCAAATGTTGGTGGAAATTGACAGTATGCTTTTTCCCTAATAGGCTTTCAAACACTGGGAATCCTGATTAGTTTATCCAGGGTGGGGTGGAATGGGATTCATTTTCAGGAATTACTGCAAACTTCAGTTCAGTGAGGGCAGTACATGAACAGAAACCCCTTGTTTACCTGAACTGCTTTGCTGGATGAGTCTACCTATTTTAAGTGGAGCGATTCTTTGGCCTTGCAGACATTCTGGACTTTATTTCCATGAAGTCCCAACCAGTTTGGGATTATGAAGATTGAAGTTCAAAGCATCTAGAGGGCCAAAGGTTGCTCACTCCTGAGCTATGTTGGGATGTGCTGTTAAAGAACCTGAATCATGTATGATTAGTCTTGTTGAATCACCTGTTTGCAAGCATCAGCCCCACAGATGTTTAGTGTTCGGAGGCGTCACTGACTTGTTTGGTAGACATCAGCATCTGAACTGAGATACTATCCATCACCCCCATTTGAAGATGGAGATTGGACACCATTATAGAGCCATTTCAGAGAAACTACAGTCAGAGATGGATACTGGTCTTTGTGTGTCAGTGCCCCTCTTGAGGTGAGCATGAGAGCACCCTCAAAATGTTTTGGACTACAATTCACATAAATCCCAGACAATATGGCCAACAGAAAGGGATTGTGGGAGCTGTAGTCTAAAACATCTGAAAGGCAACACTAGGGGCAGAAGAATCTGTCAATTTTGCTTTCTCCCACATTCAAGTTGTTGTTTTTTTTAAGTAGGTTATTTCCACTGAAATTATGAAGACATATGCAAATGTTGTTAAACCTCTTGTACACTGGTGGTACTATTTAAATAAAAATAAGCAATAATGTAAAGATTATATAAATAATATAATTTGTTCATAATAAACAAATAAGGCATACCTGCCGGCAATGTTGAAAATTCTATGAAGGCTTCTTTTTTTTCCCGCTGCTCCAATGGGAGCTGCCAGGGCATCTGGTGAGGCTTGGCTAATACCTTCACCTTGTAGGCCATGTTGGGCTTCAGGTTAAAAAACTGGTACTTGTATCTGGCAGCCTTGACAATGTCAAATTCTTCTTCATTGAGGAAGATCACGTGACTGTAATTGCTGTTGGTTGGGAGCCAGGTGAGTTCAGCAGAGATCTGAGTGACGTTGTCCACCTTAAGGTGGGAGGGTGCCACAATTACATCCTTCCCAACTAACAAGGTGCACTGTAGCTCATCAGAATTGCCCCTGCTGGTGATGCTTTGAATTGAGATTCGATACGTGCAAGCAGCAATGTTGAGCTTTTCTATGAGAGCTTTACTTCTGCTCCCTAAGGACACACTCATCCGTATTTCTTTATCTACCAGGACGTTGTAGCTATGAATGGTTCCCCATCCAGGTGGCACAACTGGAGGCTCCCAGCCCACAATTACACTTTTGGCTAGTTGTTTGATAAGGGTAATTTTTCTAGGATAAGGCACAATGTCTTCCCCAATTTCGTCAATGTTCACATCCAGGGTCCCCGCACCATTATTGATGATGCAAGAGTCTAAGTGGCTTGGTGGATTAATTTCCA